TATCAAAAATATTAAGGTTAAGCACAACACTAAAAGGTTCCATTGGAAATTAACGTTATGTATCAAGATTAATTTTTAAGTATTTATCAAAATAATTAATAATTAACGACATACTTAATAGTGTCTCATTATATGTATTTAAATAAAAGTCAAGGTACTTTGTGAACACTAAACTAAACAGAGATAATTAAATAATCAATGACATAATTAATTTATGAATTGCATATTTTAAACATTTAAGAATTAAAAAAATTACTTTGATAGAGAACTAATCGTCATAATTTGGTTTTCAAATCTATTTCTAAATCAGGAATATCAAAGTCTTCTCTCAAGTTAATTAATAGGTCAGAATATGAGTTAAAATTATCTTTATTACTTCTGTACCAAATTAAAGCAGAGTCCTCTAACAGATCGGAAAATGCCGTTAGCATACGAGATTGCGGAATCTCGCGGGCGTGTCTAATTTCTTCCAATCTTTCTATAAAACTTCTAACGCAAGTAGAACCATTATATTTTAAGTTAAATGAGTTTGAATTAATGCGTCTATCTTTAATTAAGTACACCTTCCTCCTTTCGTTCATCTCGCTCGTTCTCTCACACTCGGGAGTTGCCTCTTTACTACTTAATTCGTCTGAACTACTCTCATCCTCTTTGTCTACCTGAGCTAATATTCTAATGAGCCTGTGGCGCAAATCCACTAGAGAAGATTTGTCAACTTTTAATCGAGCCAGTCTATCGATCAGATAATTAGCCCTAACTGACACACGTAAGTGAAGTTTACTGTCTTTTCCGGGGTCACTTGATGACAGCAGATCCTCGAGCTCAGCAATTTTCGGCGTACAGGCCTTGAGCTCGCTTGCAGGGAGTGGTGTTATCACTGGGGCACACTTGATGCTACCGCGTCTCTTCAGCTTGAAAATTTGGCGAAGCTGCTTTCTCAGTGCATCCACCGATGTGTCAGGAGCTGTGGAAATGCCAAGAATATCCAGTTCATATATGATTTCATCCTTTCTTAAGTAGTTTACATATTTTTGTAAAGAGAGCATTTTCGCAGACCTATCAATTTAAAGTTAAATATTTTGTTATTAAGTTAATTACTAAATTTCACTTTCAAATCAATTTATTAAATTACTGTTAATCAAGTTTCTGAATCAAGCTAATTATTCAAGTTATTTAATTTAAAAGTGTTAAATAGTAAAAAATATTTTTTTTTTTTGAAGGAGGGTACTTTTATTATTACAAATTTCAATTATTAAAGACGATCTTGTTCACTGTTTAAGGTTAAAAATTACTAAGTTAATTAATTCTAAAGTGTTATTCTAGTGTTTAAAATGATTAAGTAGATTTATTCAAGTCTATTAAAAATTACTAAGTTGATTAATTCCAATGTGCTAAGTTTATTAATTCTATTGTGCTACTAAGTTGTTTAATTCTAGTGTGCTGTTAAGTTGTTTACTTCTAATGTGCTACTAAGTTGTTTAATTCTAGTGTGCTGTTAAGTTGTTTACTTCTAATGTGCTATTCAGACTGATTGGGGATTTAAGCATTAATTTTTCCGCCAATCTTTTTTATCATCATATTAGCACACCAGTATTTCCCTCAAATACAGTATTTTATTGCTAGGCCCCACGTTGGGCGCCATTTTGTAACAATTTTTGTTACCACCGACTATTTCAGGGCTTTTACATGAGACTCGAAATTAATTAATCTATAATCAGGGCGCCGTTTTACTGTTATTTGAAGGAGATAAAATAAAAATCAATAACCGCAGTGAACAAGATAAATGTATTGTTAATATTCAGTTCAATTTTCAACATATATTAACTAACACACTTAACATTATAAATTAAGATCTTTGAAGATGGCTTTTATAAATTAAGGTATAGAATATCAGTGACGAACATACAATCAAAACATGTGTACATACAGTTATATTAATGTTAATATTCTAAGGAAACATTTTGTTCTATCAAGTATCGTACATACAAATTTATTTATATAAAGATTCTAATGAAACAATTCGTTTGGCAAATATGAAGCTACTTTCGTTAATGAATCTACAGTTTACAACAATAAATCTTTTATTTATGTTCTAACAATCTGAAACTTCGTACTTCGGAGAATGCACTGCTTAAAGATTAAATAGGTTGAGAGTTTACTTAGCTTTCAAGATATTGGTACCATCAAGCGATTCCGGCATCCACGTGGATGGTAATAGAATCTGCTGTCATCACCAGTGTTCTTTGTTTGATCAAGATTGCATCCACAGGCTCATTTATATAAATATATATCCAAAGAAATCCCAAGCAGGATTAAGTAATTGTGATTATCGTATACTGTTTTTTAATTAGCCACTTCAAAGGACCTAGAAACAATTACACATTTTTCTATAGTTCAATAAAAAAACCTAACTTGACCTACAGCCTAAACAGTTAGCTATATTGGACTTACCCGTTAATCCGGGGAAAATATTTTAATTAATTATGCACTGACTATACTTTCCAGTCACTGTGCAATTTACTAGATGTTCAAGTGTTCGGTTCGCAGACAAAAGAGAGTGAAATCGTCTGCGCAAAGCTATTTATAGTGGCCTAGGATCACGTGACGGCGTCCTAGCAAATTTCTCTCAAATCACCATATTTGGTGCGAGGAATCGACAGGACCGGTTAATACGGCTACGCCCATCTCCCTCCAAGAAACTGCTTCCTGAACAATAGCTAATCACGTCATCAATACGTGTAATTTCTTTTAACACTATTAAATACAACTCCATCTATCTCATCATTCAAATACAACTATCATATTTTTTTTTTCATAATATATTCTGTGCTTCTTTAAAACCAATTACATTGTTAGATGATGGATACGTATGGTGATAGATAACGCTTTGATTAGTAATACTTTTTGATTAGTTCTACAACTTAATATTCTAAAATTATATTGCTACACGCTATCCGGGCGAATGCACTGACCATTATGCTACCGCGGCCCTGTTGGCCGTGTCGATTTTTAGCTAGCCTAGCCTTAGGCTGCAAGGCGGCGCCATTTCTTCGCATTGTAGGTAACCCACAATGTGAAATGAATACTTTCATAAGTATTAAACATTTGAAAGAAGAAATAGCAACTATAGTTATGTCTTTCAGTTGAAAAGATTGAACAGTCTACAAGGAGATGAAAAGGATCTTGTAGTGATTGCGTTGTGTTGCAAGGACAAAGATTTGTAGCGGTGATATGGAAGCGATGCAAGTAAAATAAATGGGCTCCGTTTTCCGTTAGGAATTGACTGAGATGGAAAGAAATAGAAATGGATAGGCGAAAGTCGCGAATGAGAGATAAGGATGCGAAAATAAGTTTAGTTCCTTGCTGAGATTCAGTGTAGCGTGATTACCACTCTTCTAGTACCCGGGTTCGAGAGATATGTTTAATATATGATATGGGAAATTTGTCATATGATAAAGCTTTTTTCATCGTAGCCCTACCAGCCTCACCATCCGCAGCTTCAGTGTCGGCTATCCCTACGTGTCCTTTTAGCCAACAAAATCGTAACTTCCCTCTGCAATGTGCTCGGATATGATTTTATGGGTGCGAGATATGAGGGGGGGCTGCACTGCCTCGCTGTTGGAGTGCATCTAAGGTGGAAAGAGAGTCGGACAGAATTAATGTGTCTCGGTATTCCCTTCCAACGGCAAGTCCACAGGCTCTAAAGATGGCGTAAATTATGGCTTGGAAAACCGAACATGAATTACGCAATTTGAACTTGTGATTAGTCTTTATCTGGTCTGGATATACGCAGACGATGGCTGCGCCCACGGTGCCGTTGCCCAATTTTCTCCAATCTGAAATAATTTGGACTGTGCTTGGAAGACATACTTCGTCGATATTTTGCTGGTTCTAGCCATTTGGCTTTTTTAATATTAAACACGACTCGTTGGTACTACGAAAACCGTCCATTAAATATGTCCTGTGTGTCTCTGTTGCCACGGGCATATTAACTTTTAGATTAAGAAGATTGTGAAAAATTATTGTGAAATAAATTATGTTGCAATGGCATAAATTAATATCTTTTTCATATACGAATTAATAGTTGGATCACCGAAGGTCGAATGTCAGTGGCAGGGCCTCAGGCCCTCGACTCGCCCTTTACTCGGTAAATATTTGTGCTTACAAGGACGGGCAAGTCATATGGAAATTGCGCAGGACACCTACATGATATTTTGTATGAGGCAGAGGCCTTTCTTTAACTTCAACTTCATTATTATATTTTACTCGTATATCAGAGCATAAGATTATTAAATCAATTTAGTAATAAAATTATTAGACAAGTTTTTCAACAAGTTGATACATTAATTTAGTGACTTTAACTCTATTTAAAGATAGTATAGTATAGTTACTCCATAAAAAGTATATCAGTTAAAAAACGAAAACAATAACAATGTTTTCAAGCCGCGAAAACATTTCCCTACCAAATGAAGCGTTTTATAGGCAGATGACGTCACAAGGCTCTCATTAAAACTTCAAAAAGTACAAAGTAATGACATTTTATTAGCATGTTTGCAAGCAGGTGCCGTCATTTTAGGCTCCGCCAATCCTAGGTGTTTTCAGTCATGTGACAATACATCAAAAATAGTTTTCTATAAGTATCATATTTTTTGAATATATTACCAACTACCTACATTATTTGTCACAATAGTGAAATCGCTTCCAATATACATATTTAGTACACTTGCCAATAATTGGTATAATAATAATAATAATACTTTTTCCAACAATTTCAAGCACTGCAATATATTTTTTAAGAACGATAACTTATTGCGTTAATAATTTTGTTCAATTTCCTCTAACATGTTTTAACAAAAAATAACCACCCACACAAAGACTTTTTAGACGACAGCCGACCCTATTAAAGTTAAGTAGATTTTAAACACTGAGTGACATTTATATTTACAGAGGAGCTTGTGATAAAAATATACTGCGATGAAAATACTAATCCGATCTAACAAATGAATAAATACGGGCTTGCTTGCTTTTTAGCTTATGTAAGGAGCTCGATGGCGCAAGTGGTTAGCGCGTTCGGCTGCGATCGTTGAACTTAAGCAACTTTCGCAGTGGTCGGTCATTGGATGGGTGACCAAAAATTACTATCTCGAGCTCCTCCGTGCTTCGGAAGGCACGTTAAGCCGTTGGTCCCGGCTGCATCTACAGTCGTTAGCACCCACCAATCCGCACTGGGCCCGCGTGGTGGGTTGGTCTTTTGTGATTCCTAAAAATACCGGGGAAGCAAATGCCGTATGATATTCCTATGCGTAGATGAGCCATACTGACGTCAGAACCACTGGTCGCCCTAAATATTATATTCGAGGAAACAATTTCCTTATTAGGAAGCAAAATGAAGATAATGGGAAGCAATATTAGACTTTTTTATATTAAAAGAGTGGCAAATATAGTATGACCCACCTAATGGTAAGCGGCCACCATAACCTATAGACGCTTGCGATACCAAAACTATATCCTGGCCCAATCCCCTACCCCGAGGAGCCCTGAAATCTTATTCACCAACAGAAACACAACACAACCAATAGTTTTATTGTACTGGCTACCATTTCTACTTTAAACGGTGCAGCCACATAGAGAGATCAGTATAGCAGGATGGTATTATATTACATTTCTGACTGATATCACAGTTTTAGGATTCAGATTTAGGCCTCAGCTATGTCATACGAATATTTGATGTTCTACTGTGTTCTATCAATTACGCAAGAGATTATTATTGTTGGTTTTCGCGAATGGGTCTGGCTCGAAAGACCGAGATGTCGGTGATGAATGTGATGATGATGATGGTGGTGGTGGTGGTGATCATGATGGTGATGAAGGTGATGAAGGTAATGAAAATCCTCAGTCCTCGGATCCCTCGTGTGGACTGTATATAGGTTGACGGATCCAAAACGCTGAATTTTGCTTTACTACTTTGGGTTTCTTTATTCTTCTAGCTAGTTGTTCAAACGATGGCTATTCCTGCCAGACTACAATGTGTCTTACAATTGTTCGTCTTATATACTAATTTGGCCCCGGTTTTCCGGCACCGTTGACCAACCGCAACGCTTACTTTAATGCGCGCGCCTCGCGCGTCCCTTAACAAGTAAGCCTTTTGATTGGCGATTCATCACGCGACTATCCCTCCGTCGCACAATACCCGCACCCCTCTGACGCCCGTATAGTAGACCTTGCGATTAGTCGACTCAGTTTTTCTTTCGGTTCGGTGCACGGCTGTCGCCAACAATTATAATCATAGAATTGATACTGCTACTGTTATCCTAAAAGAGTAACTTCATGTCATTTTTTATTAAATAATAAAAGAAAGGACAAATCCATGTAGGACTGAGAGTGAAAGAAAATAATAGCATGCGGCAGTTGTGTCGTAAAAACCTGCCGACAACCAGGGTACTTTTGGGAGCTATTGTATGGGTAGCCTGTCGACCCTTCACTATTGTTTTCGAACAAAAACGAATACCAAATAAGTTGCGATGGTAACATATTATATTTCTATAGTCTATTTGAGACGCCTTCTTTTACACTATATATGTGCGGTTTTTACCGAATTTAAAAGAGGTACTTCACTTCTAATTGACTATATTTTTTATCCAGCAAAACCGAGGGAATTGCTAATATAGAATAATCTTTCTAATATATAAAATTTTCGTGTCACGGTGTACAGTCGCCATCAGATATATCTGAGCATACAAGGTGACCAAATACATCTGAACAGTTAAAATTTCATTAAGTTCTATACGCTACAAGTGACCATAAATATCCGAACATTCATTACTTCAATAATATCTGAGCAGATGCCTGTCAATAATATCTGAACATACAACTTTTCAAAAATATCTGAACACGTCAATGATTATGTATCTACGCAGATCATGCACTGGGCTTAAATATTTTGCTACTGCGTGATTGAAAGGATGAACTAAAAACAAAGGCTAAATATAAGGAATAAATACGATGAGAAGGGAATAAAAATCTATCAGAAAATCATTCGTGTAGGTCACCACGAGTAGTAGAAATGGAAGATGCCTAATTTTTTCTCTATTTATTTTTGCAGTTATACTTCTTTAGGCGCGTTATGAAAAAATGATGAGAGTGAAATTTTTAGATGCGCGCGCATCACTGTAACACAATAGTAACACCATGAAGTTGGCCGCGGGCGCGTTATGAATGTTAGTGTCTAATAATGGTGGATTATTAACCACTTAGTGGTTAATAATCCACCATTATTAGACATCTGTTCGAAAGGTACTTTGAACGATCCACGGAGCTCCATAAGATGATCGCGTTGTCAAAAACAATGTTGGCACGCTCGTCGCCTCAGATCACTGTTTTCATATTTATAATATTTATCCACATGTTTCTAGTTTCTATATAGACACAACGTGTTTTAGTTACTTACAAGTGCTAATTACATATGGACTAATAACTTAAATTCAGTAGTGATTTTAATTGAATATTTTGAATATTTATTTAATTTTTCAAATTAAAACTGAACTTAATTGACTGTGTTAACTATCCTTTTCCAGTCCTTTTATTATTTTATTGTAATTATTAATTATTTGCATGCAATTAAAAAATATTTTTAATGATGCTAAAGAAGTATAACTTCTCACGCGCGTACATAAGTTACACGCATCCATTCTTTTTATAATTAACGAGAAGTTATGTTTTTATTTTATTCTATAGATTAAATTCTCAATATCTTCTTAGAAATTTATTTTAAAATAAGACAACTGCGTTTTTTAACCGCAATAGAAATAAGTAATAATTTGGAGGAAACATTTGTTCCACTATTTCCATTGCAGTGGAAAATGGAATTCTGTACTTGTCATGCTCAAACTGGGCGCCATCCTTACAAAAAATTTATTTACTGTCTGAGTGGATGTGTTTGTTTGGTTTGGGTATGTATTATTTATAAAAGTGAAAATTAATAAAAAACAATTTTAATTCTTATAATTTTTTATTGAGTTAAATAATCAAAAAATGTAAACGAATTAACTTGGTACCTACCTCAGTAGATGCTTAAGCTTAAGTATTTATTATTATAATAAAATTATAATCGAGATCGAAATAAAAAAAGCAACTTCTGATACAATGAGTTTAAAATTAAATAGTAACAAAATGTTTTATTCTTATAATTATACATGAGATCAAATCAAAAAGTTATCAGGCAATTAGTAAGGTTCTTGAAATTAACGTATTATTATTAGCTTAATAATTTCCCAATATTATCAATGCCCGTTTAGACGGGAATTTCTAACAGACGTAGACGGCCGTAACGTATATTGTCGACTTTTCAACAAAAACGCAGACCAATTAGTTATTTTGCTCACCATTTTTAGGGTTTCGTAGCCAAATGGCAAAAAAACGATATTCATACAAAAATAGAAAAAAAACTTATGGACTTAGAATTTTTTTTAATCAAATCTTTACGTGTGGGGTATGGATAGGTCTATAAAATTGATAGGTCTATAAATTTAATATGGGACCCATTTCCACTAAATGTTGTTAGGATTCATAATGCAATAAGGTCGATATTTTACTTTGATAGTGTTTTGATGACATAATGTCATAACGAATCGACCCTTGAAATGATAACCTCTTTACAAAATACTATTTCGTGTCAGTGTCAGTGAAGAAAACAGTTTAATGTGACATTTTTACAAAGTATAATTCGGAAACGGAACATAACATAACATCGGAAATGATCTTTTGCTGTCGCTTCAGATGACGTAATTGCATGGTTGCCCCTAGAAACGTAAAGTTGTCAATGGTAAACATTATGACATTGACTTTGCATTAAAATATTAGCTTTATATAGCTTGCAGCAGATTGCTACACGATATTCAAAGGTGGGACCCAGATTAAAGCTCGTGTCTGTACATTACCTTGCAAACTTCTAGCAAAAGTTGATTTGAACGAGGCCAAGTAATTTGTTTTTTAAATACGTCATATTATTTACAAATAATATGACGAATTTAAAAAAAAAACAACCGCAATTTACATTTAATTCAATATAAAAATATTTATTTAGATAATGGTACGGACATACTATTCAAATATACTGCTTATAGACATGTTTTCTCCTGCTAACCAATCTACAGTACAGACATGGATTATGAAATCTTGCAGATCCATGTTATTGTAAGCTGCCTTTTTATGATTTCATTTTTGACCATCATCATTTGCATGCCCTTTTCCCAATTCTATTTGTGGTTGGCGCAACATGTCTTCCGCTTCCATTCTCCTCTATCACTCGCAATATCAACACTCACTCCCTTACTGGCCATGTCCTCATTCACACAATCTACCCATCTTTTCTTCGGTCTTCCTCTCCCCGGGTAACCCTCCACTCTCATTATACAGGTTGGCTTATTGAAATGGGTCAGGATGGGAAAGTCTGAAACTATAATATATATGAAGATCTGTTCTTAGGAACAAGATTTTAATAAAAATAAAAACTGCATTCATACATTTAAGAAAAACCCTATGATCAGCACGGAAATCAAACCCGGTCGTTTTGGAAAAAAAAACACACTATTTCTATTTAAATATCGATTATGTAGGTCTGAAGCAGTAAATGTTTCTATTAAACGTGATGTCTAAAATGAGTAAAACGCATTTTTGTCACATAATTTAAATTATTTCAGTAGAGGTTCTAAGTGACCACCGTTTTTTTAATACAAAATTTAACACGTATAGGTAACTTATCTTACTAATAAATAGAAATAGGAAATAGTGTTAGTTTTTTTTTCAAAACGACCGGGTTTGATTCCCGAGCTGACCACAGGGTTTTTTTTAAATGTATGAATGCAGTTTTAATTTTTATTAAAATCGATGACAAAGTTCCTAAGAACAGATCTTCGTTTAAATTATAGTTCAGACTTTCCCATACTGACCCATTTAAATGAGCCATCTTGTATACTCTCATATTAAATTTTTGACCATTATATAATTATTTGCCGAACAAGGATTGCTGCCTGATTTTTTAAATTGCTTACAAAATCTTTTTGTGCCGACCAAATTATTTAAAGGCTGACCAATTATATACTTCTCATGAAACATTAGTATTTTGTGTAACCTCCTTCTGCATTTAATACGTCTTCTGCATTTAATACGTCTCGTTTCCTCATGGAACCAACTACCTTCTCACAAAAACCTCGACCTCTGAACGATTCCCAAACATCATTTGCATGTCGCTTAAGGCTTCTGTTGTTCGACATTGATTCCCATCCCACTCTTGCACCAATTTACCCCAAAGGTTTTCGATGGGATTGAGGTCTGGACTTTTTGGTGGTAGTTTGATTAAAGTTAGTTCTCTCTGTTCATTAATCCATGTCAGTACTGTACGAGCATTATGTACTGAGCTGTTGTCTTGAAGGAATGTAATTTGTTGTTCTGGATAAAAAACCTGAGCTGTAGGAAGAAAAGTATCTTCCAGAAGTTCCTTATAATTCATTGCATTCATTCGTCCACTTATTTCCACAAGCTCACCAGGACCATCTTTGCACATCCCTCCCCAAAATCCAATTGAAATACGTCCACTCCGGCGATTAAGCAGCACATTTTGTTCTAAGTAACGTGTGTTTTCGGGTCGCCATGAGCAGAAATCTTTTCGTCCATGAAAATAACGTTTTGAAAATTAAAATTTAAATAATTAGCTGCAAATTGTAGCCGCTGCATTTTGTGCCTTGGCGTGAGAGTTGGTTTTCTTGCCGGTACTCTATTTTTTAAACCTCCTTCTTTTAATCGTCTTCTAATGGTGCTAGTGGATATTTCGAATGTGCTTGAAAATTGTGTAGTGTTTATAAATCTGTCATTTTTGGCTTTATCTATAATAGCTATGTCTTGGTTATTTGTAGTAATACGCGGGCGACCAAATGAAACATGATTATTTAATGTTTCTCCTTGCTGCCATCTTTCTAGCCATAAATATACAGTATTTCTCTGAAATAAATACAATTTTATACTTTGTGAATAAAGTTTCATGTTTTGTGGGCAATTGATTTTTAGCATTTTTCTCCGTGATACTTACGGCTATCCCTAGCTCATCGGCGATATCTTTTACGGATAAACCATAATTTTTTAGTTGTATTATTTTATGTTTCATTTCCGCATCAATACGGTACGAACTCATATTAATTATAGTTAATTTATGGTATGAACTAATACGTAAGCAAGCTGCTTGAATTTATTTGTGCATGACACATGACAGAGGTGATAAGAATAAAAACTGGAAAGTGCTTAACTGCCAGCGTCATCTTATTATAAATAAATAATTAAGAGGTCCTATTAAAATTGTTCAGATATTTTTGAAAAGTTGTATGTTCAGATATTATTGACAGGCATCTGCTCAGATATTATTGAAGTAATGAATGATCAGATATTTATGGTCACTTGTAGTGTATAGAACTTATTGACATTTTAACTGTTCAGATGTATTTGGTCATCTTGTATGCTCAGATATATCTGATGGCGACTGTACAACACACAAATTGAAATACTCCGAAACAGGCTCGACTGATTTTCGTGAAATTTATATGCATATTCAGTAGGTCTGATTATGGGACAATAGCTATTTTTCATCCCCTTTAAGGGTGGTCCAACCTTAATTTTTTTTTCGACATTTTTTTTTTATTTTTATTTTTTTATGATACATCATACAAAAATGCATACAACCCTAAATTTTCACCCTTCTACCACCAACCCCTATCTTTTATGGCGGTACGAAGTTCGCTGGGACAGGTAGTGTAATATATAAACTTCTTCATTTTATAAGGTATACATGCCCGTGAGTGGATCACGCCGGCCACCACCACGTATTTCATCAACCAGCTCCTGACCAGCCAGGACGCGAACATCACACGGCTGAGGGACCGGTTCGACTGGCGCATCTTCCCCACAGTCAACCCTGATGGATACACTTACAGTTTTAACAGAGTAAGCAAGCTTATATTTATCTATATAACGAGCTCCCTTCCACGATTTTCCCTCGGTACTATAATACATAGTCCACTTTATTAGGTTAAATAGGGTGTTCCGCAAAAGGCAGCGGCATGGCTATGTCACTGGCATTAAACAAAAATCGAATCGATAAAAAAATAAACTATTCGTTCCTCACTGAAACTAAGAAACCCGTTAGAAACAAGGAACACAATACAATATGATTAATGATTTTCGTAGTACATATTATATAAAGAAAATTTTCCTAGTACCCCACCTGGGATACGACCAACACGACGACGTGAAGATAGACAGTTAAAACATTTCAACTTGTATTAAATATCTTCAATGAGACGTAATATATTTGACCTCACCTTTCAGTGTTCAGGCGATTGCTCTTCTGCAAAAAAATCCCCCGTTCCATATATCTCTAAATGACATAATCCCCACTGGTAGGTTTTTTCCAATTATCGCTACTGATTGGGATATATAATACTTTCTATACCATATATCCTTACTGGTCCGCTCTGGTATCTATATATATAAAACTCAAAGGTGACTGACTGACATAGTGATCTATCAACGCACAGCCCAAACCACTGGACGGATCGGGCTGAAATTTGGCATGCAGGTAGATGTTATGACGTAGGCATCCGCTAAGAAAGGATTTTGATCAATATACCCCCAAGGGGATAAAATAGGGAATGAAAGGGATATACTGTACTTCCAGGGCCCAAAAGTAAAAACTTCAGTTTTGTTGGTTGTAATTTCGCATTTTTGTTGTTAAAAAGGTTTCTGTTAACCACATTATTAAAAAAAAGTCACACTTATGCACTGGTAGTTTTTTAGAAAAAAATATTGAAAATTTTTACTTTTCTTATCAAGTGGTGATACTTCACACTAGGTTAGGTTAGGTTAGTGTTGTGACCATAACGCGCGAGCCGAGCGAGCAAAGCGAGCGTGCCGCGGCAGCGGCCGGTGAAGTGCCAGAAAAAAAAATCTGTTAAAAAAACCTTTTCTACAAAAAAAAAACAAGTACTTATCACCTTTTGGGCCCTGGAAGTACAGTTTTACCAATGAAAGTTTGTATGAAACTTTGTCAATTTTAAACCGACCGGGCTGATACTTTGCATGCAGGTATAAGAAGAATTATAGATGAATGTCATTGTGTATAATACAAGCCTGAGAACAAAAACTGTAACTTACACTTCAGCTCTACACCGAAGCGAAGCGAGGGCGTGCCGCTAGTTTTACTATATATAAGTATTTCCATTTAGCGCTGCCAGTGGGGATAAGTTTTCAAGGGTATATTTATATTATGCTTAACTAGGTGTTCCTGAAATACTTATTAAAAAAAGCAAATGAAATCGCAACAGCGATTCTTACACAAACACTTACTTAATAACATAGGTACTGTTAAAATCATATCTTCATTTGAGTCAACTTAAATTACTCCCATACATTGTACAATAATGCACAACTACGACTCGTTACGGCAGAAATTACTTTAGTAGATGCTTTCTTAGATATGGTAAGATAAAAAAATACTACCTATCCATATCTTAGAAAGCACATACTGTAAATTCTGCCATAACAAGTTGTAGTTGTGCATTATGGATAACTATATCACGTAGCACATATCAAGTAAAAACTTCACAGTTTTGTTGGTTGTAATTTCGCATTTTTGTTATTAAAAAGGTTTGTGTTAACCACATTATTAAAAAAAATGTCACACTTATGCACTGGTAGTTTTTTAGAAAAAAATATTGAAAATTTTTACTTTTCTTATCAAGTGGTGATACTTCACACTAGGTTAGGTTAGGTTAGTGTTGTGACCATAACGCGCGAGCCGAGCGAGCAAAGCGAGCGTGCCGCGGCAGCGGCCGGCGAAGCGCCAGAAAAAAAATCTGTTAAAAAGACCTTTTCTACAAAAAAACAAATATCACCTTTTGGGCCCTGGAAGTACAGTTTTACCTGGAAGGTGGGGCCATAAATGATGAATAATGAAATTAACCATTGTAGGACCGCATGTGGCGAAAGACCAGATCAAGGTCAAGCATGTTCTGCTACGGAGCTGATCCGAACCGCAACTGGGATTACAATTGGCTGAGTAAGTCACTTCACTCTCACTTTAAACCGAACGTGTTGAACAATATATTTATAAGAAAACTGTCACGTACTGTCCTGTCACGGTCGCCACTATTTAAAATGAACGTGTTGAACAATAAATAATATTAAATTAGAAGGAAAATAAAACCACCATAATCTAGATTTGTCACAAGACTGTCTTTTTATTATATTTTTAAATAGGAATAAAAATCTCAATTTATAAAGGAGTTTCAATTCGTAACACTCACATTTTCTCTGGGCAACTCAAACAACTATTATCTTTTGCCCCGCGACGTTATAAAGAAGCTTTAAAAGGTTTAATTGGCCTTATAAATTGCTTTTTTGTGACGATCTTGCAATAGCAGTAACTCGTCGCGTAGTTTATGGGTAATAAAAAGCTCATGCTTATTTCTTGTTCCAGCGGAATGTTACGGATAGACAGATTTATAGTCGCAAACGATTATCTTTTAAAGCTGAAATAAGACAGTGATACAAATACGGTAATTTTTGATCTACAAAATGTCAGTTGGTTTCCCTTGAATCTATGGCGCGTCTAGAAAGGAGGCTGATAGATGAAAGCAATTTTGTCGATAACAGAGTTATTTAAGTCTGAAATACAGACGCAAAGTTAAAATGTCTGTCAGTCTTCTAACAGCGAAATTGACTAATGTAAAATTAATTACTAGACATACTCTAGAGACAATACTCGTTGGCACAATAACTGATCTGCGTTACTTTTAGAGCATATACCAATGGAGATACCATACCGTTCACTCGCCGAACAAAATTTTTCACCATTTTTGGTGCGGGACGAGGTACCCACATATAGCACACTAATGAAAATATGCAATACTCCAACAAACACGAGCGTGTTGTTGCTATAAATGAACACTTCAAAAATAACGTCACACAAACAAAAAAACGCACACAGGCTAACAATTTTTATGTAACTATGCAATTATTCGAGCGTACACCAACACAAATTTAGGGATGGGGCATTAAAAGAATGAACGATATTTGATTGAACAGTTCTTGATGAACGAACATAACTTTTGTTTATAATATATGCTCGAAGGCGTTACTTGATAGTTCGTGCTTCGGAAGTATCGGTATTAGCTGTGTCTGTAGTTTTTAGCACCCATTAAGCCGTAAAAAAAAATCTAAATGATATTGTGAACTAACTTACCAGAACACGGCGCTACAAGCAACCCATGTGACTACCAAACGTACGGTGGTCCCAAGCCATTCTCGGAGAAGGAGACCAGATCACTGTCAGCTTACATCTCGAGTTTGGAGAACCTCCTTGCTTACATAGCGTTCCACTCCGATGCTCAGATGCTGCTCACCCCGTACTCAGATTCTGTGGAACATGTGGACAACTACAACGATCTGGTAAGTTGTGTATATATACTAACCTTTAGATAGGTTTAAAGGCCTAATATTACAAATGTAAAAGTTTGTGTGGTTGTTGCTCCATCACGCAAAAACTACTGACAATAAACTTTCATATTTATGATATTATTGGGATAATAATATGATAACTTACATTAACATTAAGGCTATGTCAATATACATCACATTTTTTTTAAATAAAAATAAAGATACGAACATTACATCTAAGATCCCTCTAAACCTTCCCTCTTCGAGATTATAAAATTAAACAAAACTTACAAAGGTTACCACTCTCTATTCCGAACATAGCTTTATTGAATTTGAAATAACATAGGTACTTACTTAAAATACCAACCACCCTCACGTGTAATATTATTACATGAATTAACAGACGTTTCCTTAATTAATTGTTATGGAAACTCGATGACGGAAAATTAAACCAAGTAACTTTACACCTACTTAGCAACTCAACTTTACCGTTTTATTTAAATCCCCTACTCGAGGCTGGTAATAATTTTGTATAACCTTCAACAGTGAAAAAATACCTATGCAGGAATGTAGGGTGTCAACTCTTCGTCGTACTCTGGTCACGGCGTTAGGGCCAGGACTTCTCTCTGCTCAACAAAGCCAGAGCTATACTGATGACTGACGACCTCCTTGGCCTAGTGATTTGTACGCCTGGTTTCAAGGTGTAGCCTACTCGAGAGGTCCCGGGTTCGAATCCAGGTGGGCCCAGATGTTTGTGTGATGAATACGAGCATTTGTACTCTAGTCATGGATGTGTCATATTTATTTCAATATGAATATGCTTATATCGTGGTTATGCAGGCAAAACCAATTATGCGACATTTAACCAAATCGAGAAATCCGCTACATAAAGTTCAAAGCCCTTTTAAAGTTTTAAAGATCTTTTTAATGCAACCAGAAGTATGGTCATGGTGGGCCTGAATTCATCATTTTGGGTTAAAGTACAACTTTAATATGAAAAAGAAAAGGGAAGTCTGCAAATTATTTGTTCAAACAAAAAATGGACCATTCGTAATTGGTTTTCCCTGGTGAATAAAAATCGTGATTATCTAGAGAATCATTCACATTACGTATAAATATCATAAATGACGTGGTAGTATTTTAAATGTAATATCTACATACTTTATAAAAAAACAAATGTACACAAAATTGTGAGCACATCTACGATAATTCCTAATTTAAACTTGGTTTTTCCTGAACTAGTTAGGAAGAGAAATATGGTAAGTCGTCAAAACTTAAAAAAAATGTACTAAATTAGTATTTACTGAATAAAAATAAAAATACATTGAAATTATTTATTAAAATGAAAAGGAGACAAAATTACGAAATGTGAACAAAAAGAAAAATTATATTAAAATAAAGGGTATGATCCAAATGACGATTAAGTTTAAAATCTTAATCATCATTTGGATCATACTCTTCATCGGAAAGTGTTGCATCAGGTATTACCTGATCCTTTTTATCTTTTTCACTTGGAAGTGATTTGAACCATTCCTGGTATTCTTCGGGAATAACGTTTTTTGCACATAAATTAATTAAATCTTTTTTCTTTGCGCCACTGATGGGCACAGATAGATATTGTTTACTGGAAGGCATATTTAATCTGACATCCTAAACAATCATTAAAAATATTTCCGCCAATTTACATAAAACCTTAATGAATTATACAAAATGTCGAAATTATAGACAAAATTGAGCCTCTTCAATTACGCCGTGACGTGGCGTCACTAAGCACGTTCTCTCTTATCCCACCTTCTCCTTTCCTTCAGAAGACCACGCGCGCTGGCCTACGTTATCACCGTCTAACTGTGGCCACAATTCCAACGCGTACACAGAAATTTGGTGACTCATTTCTTTGTCACACTATCCGTAAATGGAATGCTCTGCCCGCTCACGTGTTCCCTCCCTCTTACAACCTAGGATCCTTTAAAAGACGCGTGAAGAAGCAACATGCAGGCCGGCAGGGTGAGGATGGCTGGTGTGGCAGGTAAAACTGCTGTATCAGCTATCTTCACGTCTGGACTTCACCTTCACTTAACATCAGGTGGAGTCATTTGTCGGACCTATCCATAAAAAAAAAATTAAGCGGCTGATTCTGTTGCTCAGGTAGGTAGAAACTTCAAAGGGTGCTTACATAAAGAAACAAGTTACCTGGCACATACAAATCTGTGCCAGGTAACCTGATTCTTAAGCACCCAAATTCTACCATACTAAAACATACTTAAACAGCAGAATCAGGCCCTTAAATGTTATTTCGACATTTTGTTACATTCTGTATACTATACCTTATGAATCTCACATCAAATTAGACAGTACCAGTATAAACTGGGCTCTTATTCGTACTACGCAGGGTACAGACAAGAGCTCAGCGTATACTGGTCTATATAGGCGAATGCTACACGCTCGATATGTATCTCGATATTTACCATGATATTTATCTAGTAATATTTTCTTATACTACACACACGATACGAATCACGTCAGTACGACAGTAAATTTCATTGAGTACACTCGTAAGTTTCGTATTACAATATAAATAAAGCTATGACTGATAATATAAAATACCCAAGACTTTGGATTGTACATAGGATTAATAACTTTTTTTCTATCAAATTCGAAGCTGTTACCTCTAAAATATAGTAGAAGGCAAAAAATGGAAAAACATATAGTATATGATTAAAATATTTACTTTATTTTTAAATTTAGTATATATTTTGCTGCTCTATACCTTAATAATACAGTTTTTATTTTTAAGATAGCTTTTATTGGCAAAAACCCGCTTTAAGCAAAATATAGTAGTTTCGCCTACTTTATATGTTTTTAGGAATATAGATAGTTAGTTAGTTCTTCAGGGCGTTTTCCGCACTTAGTCCTAATTATTGGACCATTGTGCGTGAAAGGAATATAGTATTTGATCCCCTAATATAGTAGGATACTATATTATATAGTAGAGTTGGCAACCTTAATTGTACACATTTTCCGTAGAAGCACCAGATCGCTTCCAATCAGTTATTTTTTTAATTCTTTCCTATTTAATTCGATTTTAATGAGTTTATCTTCGCAATGACATCTTTGGTAGTCGCGCCAGGTTTAATTCTTTTTTAAATTCAAATAGTTGCTCATAGGCATTCGCCCTTTTCACTTTATTTACAGTGTCGGCACTTGAGCTGTCCCATACCTCTGGTAGTGTTTTAACACTAGTATGAATTGTTTCAAGTGCTTTTGGTTGTTTGTATGAGGTACGGCGGGCGCCGCCGCCTCAATATGCGCGTCCTCTTCCATCGCTGACAATATTAATACTGACGCAATAAATATCGATTAGAGACTAGACGCTCGATATTTATCAACGATACTTGATACAAATCGTGGATTTTAGGATTTCTAGAAATCCAGCGATCCGTACCACGGTATGTGAATAATTGGTTTTCGCTGAAGGTATTTCATTCGCGCGTGTTTTAAATTCGTTCAAACAAAACACATTTAGACGCAAATAAACTTTTTGCTAGGATCAAATTGATATATACACTAATGAATTACTTCGCGGAAAAGCAAGTACATGATAATACTATGTTTTGCCTGAAATCATAATAGTTCTTGGGTATGTTATCTTCATGTAATTTGATTTTGTAGATGAAATCACACAAAGATTACAGTAAACCCTGTAAAGGAAAACCATTTTTACTGTGTCATTTTGTTTTGCATGGGATCCGAACCGGTAAAAAATTTATTATGTCAACATAAATTATTTTTATTGAAGCCTTGCACGGCTAACTAGTCTTAAAATTGGTTTTTACATGCGGTAACTTCGAAACGGAGCGTTTGATATAGAAAAGGGTTTTACCTGCCGATAGAGCAGAAAAAACTTAGTCGATGCATGCAATCAAAAGATTTTTGATAAAGTCGTCAAAATTGGTTTTGCCTGCATAACCACGATATGAAATGAGGTAATCCGTCAGAGAACCAGAGTTATCGACATAGCCCACCGGATTAGCAAGTTGAAGTGGCAGTGGGCTGGCCATATTTGTCGAAGTACCGATAATCGTTGGGGTAGACGACTTCTGGAGTGGAGACCGCGTCTAGGCAAACGTAGTGTAGGACGTCCTCAGGCGCGATGGAGTGACGATTTGCGCAAGGTGGCTGGCAGGAGCTGGATGCGAGTAGCCCAAGTTCGATCTGAGTGGCGTGCATTTGGAGAGGCCTATGTCCAGCAGTGGACTAAGATAAGCTGTTGATGATGATGATGATGATGATGCTTATATATGTATCAGTATATGTATTCTGTCCGTTATCCTAGTATCCCACAACACAAGCCTACAGTGCTTACTTTGGAGCTAGGATAATTGGTGTGAGCGTTGGAAATATTTATTTATTTATTATACTGAGCAGCGACAGGTCTTGGAGGGCGGTGGTCTCCTTTTGTGAGGAGGTTATCTCCGACAGACCACACGCCCACGCGGACTCTTTCCGGCGCCGGCGGCGGAGGGTGGGGGCTAGGAGACGGCGGTTTGACCGGCTCTTAGTCGTCACCTACGGATGCCCTTGATGCCTCGAGGCATCCCCAAGTTGGGTGGGTCCGTTCAAGACGAACACTCACTGGTGGGATCGCGGAAGGGTCCCCGTGGCCTGCGTTACCTTACTTGCTAGCCGTGGGTCTACCTTAGGTATGGCCTCCCTAGCATGCCTGCTCTGTAATGAAGCGTCTTATGTAATGAAGTCGCGGGCTCCCACTGGTTAGTACAAAAGATCTACGCATTTCCTGAGAATAAGTAATCAATGCAGTCCACGTCAACGTCTCACTGGAACAAACTTGAACTTTTCTAGATCCGAATTGGGAAAACTTCATTAGAGTACGGCGAAAGGGTCAACGGAGAGAAGTACGACGGACCGGGGACAGCTGCGGAACTTTTGTGTGAGCACTTTTATTGTATTAAGTTGTATTAGTGTATTGGATGTTGTTGGTATTAAGCTTTTCCGTTCCATTTTATAAAAAAGGCATTACGATAAGGCCTCAGCCCCGTTTTTTTTTCGTTTTATATCGGTCGATAATATTGGATGTGTTAATGCCACAGAATACGGAAAGCGGTTGGAAGGGCCATGTGGGCGGGGCAGGCGCGCCACAGTTGTGTGTGAGCAAATGCTCATAACTTGAGCAAAACTTGGTTCTGATTGCGTCGTTGCTCTCGGGTGTGAGCGTTGATTGGGTCGATTGTTTGATGTCGCGTCGTTTGATTGGCTATTATCTATTAGGTGGAAGTGTAGTGGAGGCGAGCCGGCGTCATTGGTTCCCGCACAAACGATCTATGAGCACTCTTCCAACCTCTTTCTGTGTTCGGCGGTTATTGTAATATTTTGTCATACTATTATTGCGTCGTTATTATCGCAGCAGTGTGTAACTTCGTAGCCGTTCTCATACATAATGTACTAAAAACAGATATCGCAATAACGCATCCAATATTATCGACCGATTATAACGTGCGTATGGAGACCTAAGGTGCAATTTTAATACATGAGTTTTGCTTTTAATTTTTAAATAGGGTAACATATTTTTTTGTTAAGTCACTTAAATTACTTATTAAGTTAGTAATCATGGTCTGCAATTAAAAACACGAACACAGGTCATTCATATTTCGATAACCGCCTTAGATCTGATTTAATTTTGTTATAAGTTACAATACATTTTTAATAACTATTGTCATAAATAATGTTGTTATCAAACAATCTAGAATAACCAATTTGCTGCAAATAGGTATTCTAACTTTTCATGTAAGTACAACATTAATATTCTGTACTTTGAAATTTATATCGAATTGGGTCACGATCAAGTTTAAACTAACCCAAATATAATATCCAATTCTCGATCCACGTTTCAGATCCACGAAAACATTATCAGAAGTTAGGATACATTTAAAGTTAGCAAAATGATATTAATTAAATTGATTTTTCATGCGGAATAAAATAAAAATAGCTGAATTTCGCATTTACTTATTTTATTATAGATGAAACGACAATCTTTTTTTAAAGATTATTTACATGTAAAAAAACCGTCAAATATGAGTCGGACTAGCGCACTGAGGGTTCCGTACAAACCTGTAGGTATATTTTAATAATTATTAAAAAATATTTTTTATTACATGATGTAACTAAAAATTTACGGTTGTAGCAATTTTTCCTTTATTTGTACTATAAGACGTGACTTCGTACCAAATTTCAAGATTCTAAGTTCATGGGAAGTACCCTGTAGGTTTTGTTTCCCGTGCGAGTTTCGAAAATTTGCGGAAATTTGCGGCATAAACGGGTTTATCTTTTAATTGCTTTGGCTTATAAGTTTGATTTTTGTACAGCTCCAAGGGACAGTAGACCTGAGTATTAGATATGAATTTCAGTTTGATACCTCCACACTTACTGAGAAAAACGGTCTTGACAGACGGACGGACAACAAAGTGATCCTATAAGGGTTCCGTTTTTTCCTTTTGAGGTACGGAACCCCAAAAAGATGAAAATAATTCTTGTCAGTTGTGCGGAATTTATTATTGTTTGTTATTATATTATTAGAATTATATTTTATTTAAAAACTGAACTTTGGATTGAATCCTGTTGACATTACGTTACCGCACTAGAAATATCATTAAAATTTTAAATAACCCCCATTTATTATGTAGCTCAAAGCCCCAAACACTTTAATCACATTCTGATTTCGCCAAAACCATACCGAAACTTAACCCGAACATTTGCCGGATGCCCATTAGTATAGTAACCTTGCATTAGCTAAATCTTTCCTTAACGACTTAATGATGAGAGTATAATTGTACCTACAGATCTGTACTCATACATCTAATGCAAGACTGGAAGCATAAGAAACATAGCGCCCGTACATAAAATAAAAAAATATATTAAAAGAACAAGTTAATTTCCGCGGTTATGATGAGCAATAGCAAACTACAACTTTTGAAACCACACACAGATACGTTAATAACCATCTTTAAATTCGTAATTCCAATATTTCGACATGAGAGTGGATAAAAGTGTTTATATAATAAGTGGTGTGCTTGAAAACATCGTTTAAGTAATAATTGCATTGGTAAACTTGATTTTAACGCTAAAAAATAAACCCTATGTTTCTCGTAATTATTAATTTAAAATTCGAAAGACGAGAGAATTTTGGAAATCGGCCCTGTAGTTTATGAGTTTATTTGTTACAAAACCACAAATGTTTCCTCTCTATGAAATAAGTATTGATATTTGTTTCTTAGGTTCTTTTTTTTCAACACTTATTTATTTATTACATTTTAAGTTGATGATAGGTTATGTTATATTGTGATGTATAATGCGATTCAAATAAGAATAGGAAAGCCAATGACCTCCATCTGTCAAATGTCGCTTGAAAAGTACGGCTTGCAAAAAAATCACGGAACACTTTTTTAGCACTCGGCTGATTCTAGAATAAAAACCAAACATTTTTAAACAAACAATAACAAATGTTGATAATTAATATAAGTTGGTTTTTTTCACTTATTGAGCTTTGGCTAAGAATGGTTGATAACCTAAATCGTTAACCAAATATCACTTTATGTTGCGTTCAGAAACTCGATTTAAAACTTTCGTTTACTTAAAGGATGCATGTTCGTATGTGACCTGCATGATTATTCATAACTTCTCCGGCGGTAATGCAGAGATGAGCGAAATTGAAGAGTTAGATTCTGATAATGTTTTTTTCACACAGTCATAATAAAGAAATACTATTAAAAATCGGTTGTGTTCTTTCGCAACCTTAGTAAATTAATTTTATTAAAAATCTGATGTTTTGTCTCACTTAATCTTAGTAAATATTTTTTATTAAATAGTAAGTGTCTAAAGTGTCTAAAGACGAAAGTCTTCAATCAGTGCGTCCTACCTGTGATGACATACGGAGCCGAGACGTGGACACTGACGGTACGGCTGGTCCACAGGTTCAAAGTCGCTCAACGCGCTATGGAAAGGGCTATGCTCGGCGTTTCTCTGATGGATCGCATCAGAAATGAGGTAATCCGGCAGAGAACCAGAGTTATCGACATAGCCCACCGGATTAGCAAGTTGAAGTGGCAGTGGGCTGGCCATATTTGTCGAAGAACCGATAACCGTTGGGGTAGACGAGTTTTGGAGTGGAGACCACGTCTAGGCAAACGTAGTGTAGGACGTCCTCAGGCGCGATGGAGTGACGATTTGCGCAAGGTGGCTGGCAGGAGCTGGATGCGAGTAGCCCAAGATCGATCTAAGTGGCGTGCATTTGGAGAGGCCTATGTCCAGCAGTGGACTAAGATAGGCTGTTGATGATGATGATGAAATAGTAACATTTTTTTGCTCACTCTACCTATTTGGTTTGAATTGGCAGCTATGACGTTAAAATATAGCGCCCAGTCGGTCCTATTCTTAGTTGAATCGCATTATAGAGGATTCGATAGTTGGAAGAGTAGGCCCATCAGAATCCGAGGCCTCGTCGAGATGCATTTTTTCACGTACATCACTCATCAAATAAAACATTTTTCAACGGTATAGATGCACTGATAGACAGATTTATTTATTTATTAACGTTTCTCATCCTTTTCAGGATACGTCGTCTGTATTATAAGTATTTTTGTTTCTCAAAATCCACAGATAAAGCATCGGGCGGCAGTATGGACTGGGTGCGTAACAAACTAGGCACACCCATCGCATACACGTATGAATTGCGCGGGACATACTTCCACTGGCCTCCCAACAGGATCCACGAGCAAGGGGATGAAGTTACTCAGATGCTGCTTGGACTCTTCACGGAAGCGGAGCAACTTGGTTATTTTTAATAAGCAGACTAGCAGGCTTTCCTTCGCTTCCTTGATTTTAAGACTAAAATTTTTGTGACTGTTCTTGTCTTATCACTTCTTTCTATGAGCTTCGGTTGAAGAAAATTTTATATATAACTGTGATGTTATTTTATTCGTTTTACTATTTTTTTTTTAAAGAGATATACTTAATATTAAATTCAGTAATATATAAGACTGTTGTTTCACTAGCAAAGACAATTTTTCTCATAATCAAAGAAAATGGAGACCGACGCCATGATGAAGGCCAAAAGAAAATACATTTTCTCAAGAAATATCCTGTAAAGTGGCGTACATATAACGAACATCTTGTAAAATAGCGTACATCTTTCTGCGCACCTAAACATCAGTCATTTGGTCAAGTCATTAGCTAGAGAAACCTTGTTAATAATAGTTAAACACTCAGTATCAACCAAACAACATACATAATAATTGTGACCATGTACCAAAACATGGCTTTTATTGTACGAAATTTTATAGCTGTACATGTAAAATGTAGAGCTTATAAAGTCATATGAATAATATGTAGTTAATTCTATTAGCGTTTATACTTAGAATATAAGACTCTTAAAATACTACATCAAAAAAAAACAAAATTCAATATCGTTTATTCAGTCTAGGCTGTTACAAGCACTTGTGAATGTCGAAAAGCTACGCCATCGGTTCGCAAATCTACGGCGGGAGACCTTGTACTGAGAAGAACAGAAAGGGCTGTTTTTTTTCTCCCTGTATTATATACAGAGTCGTCAAATTGAAAAATGACTTCAACTACAACAAAAAAACTTCGTAACTCATAAAGTCACATTCCATCACAATGCAAATAATATAAAAATTATGACTATATAAAAAACTGGTTTAACAAAGTTTAGGAATGCCGTGTCCTACATTTAAGGCAAAAAAAAATAACGATTATATGTTTAGTACAACGATTAATAGTACCCAATGAAGCAAGAGCAGACTCATCTCCGCTGGCAGCACCCGTTCACGTGCATGACGCATGAACCAGCCATCGCTTCCCCCAACCATTTTTTAGGGAACGCAACGACCCGCCTCACACGACACTACCGAAGAATTTTTTAAGAGAGCATGACTACTCATAACCACACATGGATACTATGTTACAAAAATAGAAAAAAAAATATATAAGTACCTAAGTAAACTAATCATAAGCTTTATTCAAAAAAAAAATATAATAGCGTGTTTTTACTATTTGACGACCTCCGTGGTCGAGTGGTTTGTACGCCGAGTTTCATGGTGTCACCGACTCGAGAGGTCCTGGGTTTGAATCCCGGTGGAGGCAGATAGTTGTTTGTGTTATGAATACGAGCATTTGTCCTCCAGTCTGGACCATGTTTAATATGTATTATATATTGTATATACATATATATTTAAAAATATATGTATTCTATCCGTTACCCTAGTATCCCATAACATAAGCTTAAGGAATAATGCTATGAGGAAACGGCACAACTGCTAACGAGCTCTTTATAATGCAAAAGAAATGTATACGTATCATAGCCCACATAGACAATACGGAAAGCTGCAGACCATATTTTATAAAATACAAAGTCCTGACTTTACCATCCATATATATCCTAGACGTATCACTATTCGTACATCAAAATTTAGACGTATTTAAAAAAGTTGACGAAACACATAATATAAATACACGGCACAAAAATCGATTATATTTACCACCATCTCGATTGAGAAAACTTAGTAGCAGTCCATATTATATGTGTATAAAAATTTATAATAAATTACCCGCTCACATAAAAAACGAAAAACATTTTTCATCCCACCACCTCGGAAAGTGTAATTTTGCGCTTCGAAATCTGGCTGGAAAATTCTATTTTATTCGCTTGAGCGGCAAAGTAGATTTGAATTTAGAACATCACATATAATGAGTACTCAATATAATTGTAAATTCAAAACGTCATTAAACCTATTTAATGTAACCTCTATGGTGCCAAATTTATGATTAGAACTTTTTAAATTGTGAAAAAATTTAAATTTGGAACCTTCTTGGTTTCTTTGTTTTATTTGCGTGCTTCGCGCCATTCTAGTTTTTCACGTTTTATTGCTTAAATATTTTGTCATTATAAATTGTTTTCTTTTTCATTTTGTCATTTCCTCGCTGAGGTGGGATGAAAAGTTACGTATTGCACTCGAGTGGAAAGATTTTTCACCTTGTGCTCGTTTGTTTCCCTCGCTGACGCTCAGGATTCTAATTTAGAATCACTCGCTGCGCTCGTGATTCAACTTTAGAATCCTTCGCTTGCTCGGTCATCCAAATCGAGCACGCGGTTAAAAAGGAACTTTCCACTCTTGTATAATAAATAACTATTAACCAATTTAGGATCTTCAAGCTTTCTAATACAGACGCTGTGCGAAACGAATTAAAGTTCTTTTTGAATATTCCACTGTGGTGGCTGTCTCCGCACTCGAAGCATGTCGATTTTGGACCACGTTTGCAAGGGGTACAAAGAGTTACCAGAGGAAACCTTTTTTATATTCTTTTGTTTAGTAGCTTTTCTCCGATGACATGGCAGCTCCATCGAAACAAAATAAGAATTACTCAACTATTTAATTAGAAAACATTTTGAAAAGCGATATATGCGACAAAAATAACAGAAATCTGTATCTGTAATTTGTATCGATCAATCATAAGTAAATTTTGATTTTTCCACATTTTATGGTCATTTGATTTGTCGTAGTCGTAGTACAAGTGTCGCCACACATGGGCCACACGCCACAGCCACAAACCCCGCCACGAGAAGCTAGAAGCGGCTACTAAAGTGGCTGAAGCGCGCGACAGCGGCCGACTAAGGTAAGGGAGAGAGGGGTGGGGAATCGCGGAAGTGACGTCTGGCGGCGTTTTGTATCGGCGCATTAAGTGGCCGGTGCGGGCCACAAGAAAAGCAACGACGATTTGTAGCGTGTGGCGGCACCGGTGTATCGTGTGTGGCGAGTCCATATAAAATGTATGAAAACAACAAGAAATATGCCGGTGGCGGAGTTTTGTGGTTGTGGTCGGTGGCCCGTGTGCGGCGACACTAAGCTTTGCTAGCATCTTAAAATAAAAAGACGTCACCTCAACGTTACACTTAACATATTAACAAATAAAAATCCGACAGACCTCTATCTAAATAATATATACATGATATTCTTATCGCCTAAACTACTACTCTGCTACAATTCATACCTTTTCATGGCTACCGCAAAAATGTCTTGACCAGTACACTAAATAAGAGAATTTATTTATGACTATGAAAAAATGGGCCTGATCCTGTCCTATATCTGGACCGTGTAAATTTTTACCAAGACTTTCTTTTTAATACTGAAAACAAAAATATAAAGCTTATCAAAGCTCGTTTCATAAAGATCGCCGAAAAATGTACTAAAGCTTTCATCCAATGTTCGTTTCTGTATATTTTAGATAACAACATCAGTGGACCGGATCTAATGATCTGGTCACAAAGGTATTACTTTGTACAGTGTTTACTTCCAAAGTTCATTTCAGTTCAGCACAACTTTCAGACGACTTCTTGATTTGGGAATTACCAGAGTCCCTTTATTATGTAGTTACAACAATACCCCCCAAATTGTGCCCCCGAAGTCTGCGGAGAAAATTCTCAAAATTTTCGCCAATTTGGAATAAAGTCAACTTGAGACTTATAACGCTAAAAACTTAACTCTCTCTCCTTGCTTTAAAGCACAAACTTCTTTGTCCCGATAATAAGTGACGTGTTTTAGCGGTAGCGGTGAGGATTGTTGGTAATTGGTCTTCGTCGTTTATTTTTAAATGAACTCTATCCCAAATTCTATAAATGTGTCGTTGGATATACCTCGATCAACCTCATTTCATATCTTTTGTAGATATGCGGGGCATCAGTAATACTATGCGCCTGTATCATTTATCACTCTTAACATGAGTTAACATTTGAACAACATGAAAATGTTGTATTAAAATATCGTCTAAGATAATATTCACAAGTTAATTAACACAGCAAGATTTGAAGAGCTCGATGGCGCAGGTGGTTAGCGCTTTCGGCTGCGATCGTTGAAGTGGTCGTGGTCGGTCATTGGATAGGTGACCAAAAATCGATCTATCTCGAGTTCCTCCATGCTTCAAAAGGCACGTTAAACTGTTGGTCCCAGCTGCATCTGCAGTCGTTAGCACCCGCTAATCCAAACTGGGCCCGCGTGGTGGGTCATGGCCCAATCTCCCTATTCCATCCATAGAGAAGGCCTGTGCCCCAGCAGTGGGGACATTAATAGCCTGATGATAAATTAACACAGTTACATTCAAGAAACATAAATGAAACTGTGAACAAGCACATTCAGCCGAATAGTATTATTTGACTGTATAAGCTTTTATCAAGTAACTCCTCAATAAAGTTCTACTTTCTTTGAATAAAAATCATATTAAGACAGACTTTCTGTGTCAATACATCTGCACAAAACTTTCAAAAAAAAATACTAGACACTAAATGCTAGCGCTCAGCAAATCGTATTGGTGCACGGACGTTAATCTGTATATTTATGCGCATCTAAAAATGCGTCAATAAATCAATAAATCGCTTCACATCGCGCTTGGATAATCCCAATTGGGATTTGCCTTCGTATCAGATATTCCACACAAACAACATCGGTCGCTGGGCTAATCCAGGATTATTCTCCTCTCCTCCAATGCCACGTGCAAATTCTCGATTAATCCCAAGATCTCGTGAAGCCGAACCTTCGTTACCACGATACCGATTCCCGGGAACGTTAAAAATCAGTGACACAGACGATAAAAGCCCTCAATCCTGGAAGCTGTTGAGATAAAAAGTCGTTTTTCCCGAGGACAAGAACATTATGGCAAGTTTATTTCACGCTTGGGATGTGCCGATCCGAAATTGCGGAGCAGCAAGCAAACTTTAAAACGGCTGTCATGTATTTTTTATTAATGCGTCAGCCTTTGCCGAGATGAGTTTTGC